TGTTAGTGAGCAGGTCACCTGCCCGTTGGCGCCAGAGTCACGGTCGGACACGCTGATCAGGGCGATGACAGTGCCCACCTGAGCATCCTCTCTCACGGGGAGCGACAGAGAAGTGATGGTAATTTCTGGGGTGTTATCATTTATATCTAGTATTTCTACCAAAACGGTACAATGACCTGCCATTGGAATATTCCCCTTGTCTATTGCCTCCACCGATATTTCATACAACTTCTTTTTTTCGAAATCTAGTTTACCTCTTGTTCTAATTTCCCCATTGTTGGGATTTATGATAAATGCATGCAACACCGCAGGCGATACAGGCTTTCTAAATGAGTAGATTATGTCTCCATTCGTACCATCGTCAAGATCTGTGGCATTTAGCTTAATCACTAATGTTCCATTAAATGCGTTCTCTAACACTGTCACTTTATAAATATACTGGTCAAATTCTGGGGCATTGTCATTCACGTCCAAAATTGTAATCAGCAACTGAACTGTACCGGTCAGCTCCGGTTTACCCCCATCATTGGCTGTCAATAATAAGCTATGCTCCTGAATTTGCTCTCTGTCCAGTGATTTCCTCAATACAAGTGACAACGAAGACATTTCTTCACGATTGTTTTGTGTGTCCAAAGCGAAATACTCGTTGGGATCAATTCGGTAGATCAAGGCCGAGTTTACTCCGATATCTGCATCGGATGCGCCATCTAGTGGAAACCGAGTTTCTGGGGGTCTAGATTCTGCAATGATTATTCTTTTCTCACTTTCAGGGAACACAGGCGGGTTGTCGTTAATGTCCTTCACCTCCACCTCCACATGGAAAACCTGCAGCGGCCTGTCCACGATCACCTCCAGGTGGATGCTGCACTCCGCGCTCCGGCCGCACAGCTCTTCCCGGTCGATCCGAGAATTCACAAACAAAATGCCATTCTGCAGATTTACCTCCAGAAGGTCTCCGTGGCCTTTGGACGCCACCCGGAACAGGCGCGGCACCAGCTCCGCCAGCTCCAGCCCCAAGTCCTGGGCGATGCGGCCCACGAAGGTGCCGTGTTTGGCCTCCTCCAGGACTGAGTAGTGAACCTGGCCACTCCCTGCTTTCCAGGCTGCGAGAAGCAGAAGTGACAGCAGCAGACTCTGGGCTCCTGGGTCTCCTCTCCAGGAGAACAGCATGATACACGCAAAAGGATTCAAAGATATCTTAAGTATAAGTTATACCTTACCGCAAACTGACTCTCACGGGCTCTGGGGGAGGATTCACTAGAGGTTTCCCATTATCTGCCAAATTTTCTGCAGGAAGGAGGAAGAAAGGGCACTTTCTGGGAAATGTTCTCAGTGAAGAGCGACACCATGTGCATGAATGTGTAACTGTAAAAATGATTAGGTCTTCGCATTTCCCATTGATGTAGAAGGTTTTTTGGTTTTTTGTTTTTTTTGTCATTTCGTGATGTTTTTCATTGCAAACACGTAATTGAAGATTAAATGTCTTTCTTTCCAGAAACAGTAAATCACGGTATTCTGCTCTGTATAGGATGCTAGTTGAGAATTGGTTGAATTCCATTTTTCCACAAATGTATTTTTGCAAGGGTAAAACTTTCATGCAGAGTTTTTTTTTAAGATTTTATTTTTAAGTAATCTCTACACCCAATGTGGGGCTCCAACTCACAACCTGGAGATCCGGAGTCACATGCTGTACTGAATGAGCCAACCAGGCTCTCCCATGCAGAATTTTAAAAGAGGAATATTCAATATTCACTTTTGGAAACCAATCTCCAGTTCTGCCTAACTTTGGTGGTTTCGGTTGGGAATGTCTTTTTCCTGTAATATTTATTTAGAACTGCTCACACAACAGCCATTAACTCCAAATGGAAATATAATCAATTACAAGAATAAAACAGATGATTGTGGAAAATATTAATAAGTGATATACCAGATGTATAAATATACCATATGTGTAAATTCCCCCAAATATGCATGTGAAATGTGGATAAAATATTTGTATTTAAAGGAAGTGTCCTGTCAATGTGTGTATGAGTTTGTATGTAAGCATGTTTGTGTATAAACACAGTAATTTAGATCATTAAGATATAACAATGCTTTGAATTTTTCTTTACATAAAAGATGCCAAGAACTAGCAGCCTATGCATTTGATGGAATTTAAATTAATACCAATAGGTTAAACTTCCCTCTTCTCTTCCCCATCCCTGGGAATAACTTTACTGATCATTTCAATTGACTCTGATTTTCCAAACATCAACAGGTAAGTAGAGATGTTAACACATCTTTAGCAAGAAAGAAAGGAAGAGAATATTACTTTTACCTATTGCTACAACTATCTCTACCAAGCCACAAAGTTCCAGGCAAAATAGTGCTATGAAAGATATAGTACAGCTCCAATAATTATCTTGCCTGTCCTGTGTACAACTCTGCAGGAACTAATAGTTGAGTTAATTTCTGTGTCTTTGCTCATCTCTGAAAATTCGCGTAGAGTATTTGATATTCTCTTACCCCCATCCTCCTCTCCTGTTACATTACTTTCATTAACATAACTTTACTTGTATCAGGGAACAGTCCCTTGATTATTTGTAGTTGTTCTTGTCTATCAAGCTCTACCTTATTTCCCTTTCCACTCCACCTAACCTAGATTACAGAGTCAACTATGTGAAATATGTCAGACACTCCAAAAGCACTCACCTACTACTATTACTCCTCTAACATTTTCTTTAGCTTCCAACGCACAGCCTAACTATTCATTTTCTCCCTCTTACTTAGCTTCTCCATTTAGGGATGTTACTTCACCATGATCACTATATTCTCTACAAGGTTACTCTCACTTTTACCTTGATTTGGGCTTTCAAATGAATTCCTGATTAACTCTTTCCTCCTGCATACCGAGATTCTTCCATATTTTCTTCTCAAATTCCCAACCTCATTTCCACCATTTTTTTCTCAGATAATTTACACAGAGAGATAAATAATCAGATATGAACTTGATGGCTCTCTTCTTGTATCAACATTTTTTTTCCCTACTAAGGAAAAATGATCCCCACTTTTTTAAAAAAGATTTTATCTATTCATTCATGAGAGAGAGAGGCAGAGGGAGAAGCAGGCTCCAAAGGAGCAGGGAGCCCAATGCGGGACTCGATCCCAGGACCCCAGGATCATGACCTGAGCCGAAGGCAGACGCCCAACCATCTGAGCCACCCAGGTGCCCGATCCCCACTTTTAAAGTCAACCCTATCCTCTTAAAATATTATTCTCTTTTCTACCTCTTCCACATTTTTCACCTTTTTTTCTGTTTTCTTTTTAAGTAGGCTCCACACCGGAACTCACGACCCTAACATCAAGAACCTGAGATCAAGACCCAAACTAAGACCCAGTCAGATGCTTAGCTGACTGAACCATCCAGATGCCCCCATATTTTTCACCTTCATCTTCATTTTTTAAAAAGATTTTATTTATTTATTTATTTATTTGACAGAGAGAGCAAGAGAGATAGAGAGCAAGCACGAGCCGGGAGAGAGGCAGACGGAGAAGGAGAATCAGATTCCCCACTGAGGCAGAAGCCAGGATGCTGAACTCGATCCCAGGACCCTGGGATCATGACCTGGGTGGAAGGCAGACGCTTAACTGACTGAGCCACCCAGACGCCCCTCATCTTCATCTTCATTCTTAATCTGCCTGTCTCATCTTCACTATCTCCTTTTTTACTTCTTTTCCTCACACTACAAAAACACTCATGTGTCCATATATATGTATATACATATATTTTTTTTAATATATATACACACACATACATATGTACACATATTACACACACACACATTTAAATTTGCTACTTCTTGGGAGGAAAAGCTAGTTCTGTTTATCCCTTCTCTTCACCTCAAACTTCTAACAGCTACTTGATGTATTGCACTTTGAGTTTTATTTCAACTGTCTGTTGCATAGCCTCCTTATGATTTTAAGCCTATTATAGTGGGTTGAATGGTGACTCCCCTAAAAGATATGCCCACAGTCTTAATCCCTGGAGCCTATGAGTATTACTTTCTGTGGCAAATGATGTGATTAAGTTTAGGGTCCAGAGAGGAGTTTGGCCTGGATTACCCAGGTGGGCCTTAAAGTGTTATCACATGTATCCTTATAAAGCAAACATATGGATAAGTAGACATACAGGAAGGGAGGCAATGTGACCAAGGAGATAGAGATTGGCGTGGTGAAGCCACAAGCCAAGAAATGCTGATAGCCATCAGAAGGTGCGAGAGACAACAGATTTTCCCTTCGAGCTTCAGAGGGTATAGCCCTGCCAACATTTGGATTTTGGACTTCTGGTCCCCAAAATTGTGAAAGAATAAAATTTTGTTATCTTAAGCCACCCAGTTTTTGGTAATTTGCTACAGCACCCCCAAGAACAAACATACCTATTCACTAACTTCTTTACTTGGACAGTTTGTTCTCATTTTTTAATCTCTCTTTTCTGATTCTATCCTTTCATAGATTTTTTCCATAAGAGAATTACTCCCAAATCTAGATCTATAATCTCCCCTGAGTTCCAGACCTGTATTTCCAATCACAGTGGCATTCTCTTAGAATCGCAAGAGTAACATTTTATTAAATGTTTCTCTCCATTTGCTAGCTGGACAAACATACACAAACTATTTCTTCAACTGTATTCTGCATCTTGGTTAATGGCAATCTCATCCTCCTAGATGACCAAACTAAAAAAGTTAGTGTCATCCTGTTATCTGTCTTTCTCTTATCATTTGTAATGAATCATTATTAAGTTGCTTCTACTTTGCTAATGCCTCTTGTACATATTTCTTTCAATCCATTTTGACTGTCATGGTATGTCTCCATTACTTGATACCTAGAATATTATAAAAAATTCTTTACTAGCTTTCTTACCTTTAGAATCTCCCCTGTTCCATCCCTCAAGTACACATTCACTAGAGCAAACTCTGCTCATTTATTCATACTTATCTCTCCATCAGTAAAACCTTCCAGTTGAAAAGTTATCTATCTTTCAAGGCACTCTTTAGTAAAACATGCCTAATCTCTGGAGCCCACCCACACTTCTACCTTGTAGGGAATCACCTAGATGGTTTATTTCAATACTGTATATGTATTCAAAAATTATTGATTGGGGGTGCCTGGGTGGCTCAGTCAGTTAAGTGTCTGCCTTTGGCTCAGGTCATGATCTCAGAGTCCTGGGATCAAGCCCCACATCGGGCTTCCTGCTCAGCTGGGAGTCTGCTTCTCCCTCTCCATCTGTCTCTGCCCCCCACTCCTGCTTGCTCTCTTTCTCTATCAAATAAATAAATAAAATCTTTTAAAAATTTTTGATTGAACATATGCTATATTCCATGTTCTAAAACTAAAGATATGTAAGACAGTAGTAGGCAAAGGCAGGAAAGTTTAATTCCTTCACTACTAGGCTGAAGGATTTAAGGTTTTATTCTCTAGTCAGAGAAGCCTCTGGATATTTTTGTGGAAAAAAATTACAGGATATAAAATATACTAAATGCACTTTAAAAGACTCAAACTGGGGGCGCCTGGGTGGCTTAGTCAGTTAAGTGTCTGACTCTTGGTTTCTGCTCAAGTCATGATCTCATGGGTCACAGGATTGAGCCCCCTCATTGGGTTCTGGGCTCAGAAGAGAGTCTCCTTGAGATTTTCTCCCTCTGCCCCTCCCCCCACTTGTGCACGTGCACTCTCCCTCTCTCTCATATAAATAAATAAATCTTTAAAAATAAATAAAAGATTCAACTGGTAACAGTGTCAGAGCAGTAGTGTGCCATAATGAATTTGGGATCCTCTAAAACTGAGTTTGGGCTACTTCTCACTACCTATTTTTGTCTTAAGCTTCAGGTTTCTCATCGGCAAAGTGACTGTGATAAATACTGTACTCACACCATAGGGCTGGGTTTTTTTTAAGGTTTTATTTTTAAGTAACCTCTACACCCAAGGTGGGGCTCCAACTCAGGATCCTGAGATCAAGAGTCACATACTCCACCCACTGAGCCAGCTAGGAGCCCCAGGGCTGATTTGATAACTAGATGAGATGATGCAATTAAAGATCTTAACACAGGTCCTAGAAAATAACGGGATCAGTAAGTATTACTATATTTTATTGAATTCAAAAGAAGTCATTAATTCTAAGATGCACCATTACTTATGTGCTACGAGGAAAGAAAAACAGCCAATAAAATTATTATAAACCATCAGTTACAAGATGCATCCTGATTCAGGTGCATATTATAACACTTTAAATATGAAATTACTTTATTATATTTCATGTAAAGAAGGATAGTACAGTAATCAGCCAATCTCACTTGAAAGAAGGCACTCTGTGTGAACAATAACAAAATTATTCCTTAGAATTAACAACATAATTTTTATTATTGTTATAATATCTGAAGGACATTGTGCTGAAATTAAAATGGTGATCAGGAGGATATTTTATAAGCTTATATATATGAGCTTATATAAGGAACGGTAAAGGAATCCAGTTAATGGTATCTGAAAACTATTTGTACTAATCTTGCAAATATTCTCTGATCATAAAATTAAGTTCAAACTTAAATTTAAGAGTTACCAAACACCTATGCAGTTTTTACTCTTTTGTACTAATATTTTTCAAGGCTAATAATTAATATAGGAAAAATGATAGAATAAGAAAGTTTAAAATGTGGTGATCCAAAACCACTATTTCATCTATATATCTCACTAATACATGAAACTTCAAGTGAACTTTCAAATGAAAGTTTCAAATGAAGATGAAATACACAAAAAGTTCAAAATGACTGAGAATGATCATACCACAGAAAATGTTCCCTGGTTATAAGATAACACGAAGAAAAAAGAGAAGATGTATTTATACCCTAACAAAAAGTTAATAAAGGAAACAAATATACTTAAATTATATCAATGACTTACTTCACTGGAAGGGTTTGAACAATCTTCTCCTGACTGTGGAAGACAAGGACTGAAGGCCATGAGGTCGGTCTTGGTCGGGGGCGGGGGCGGGCCCTCCCCGGAGCACACCCTCTGCCGCCTCTGCTGCGAGTACGACCAGCTCCCCACCGCGCTGGAGCACACCAGCGTGGGCTTCCCAGGCGC